TTCTTTATCATCTCCAGGCTCTGTATATCTCTGCATTTATAGACTCGTGATGGGCAAAGTATTGTTTCTAGAGCAATGTACGTTTTCCTTCTATAAAAGGAGTAGGTTTTGACGTTCTGTGGTAGTTAAGGAATTTTTGAGTAAGAAATCTTCTTAGCTTTGATTTTTAGCAGGTTCAGAGAAACATTCTGGTTTGGGTTTTTCTCCCTAGAATTTAGGAGAGTGTCAGAAATAGTTCACAAGGTGAAAAGAGTGAGATCAGCCATCGGAAATGTTTATGGTGAAGGAAGCTCTTGACTTCACACCTGTAGTGTTGGTGATACGGAAAGTGTCTGTCTGAACCTCAAGGCCATGGACTGCCATTTTGGGAGGCAAGGAGTTAGTTGGGGATGGAAAGACTGGAGTTTGTATTCTTTCTGGTCTGTTACCCATTGCTATCTTCATGGATCTGACACTCTGTTTATCTGACAGTGCACTCAGTACTGCTTCGCCAGGGAAAATTGCACAAAACAAGCCCAGTGCATCAGCATTTTCATTGTGTATTAAGCTGAGCCTCCCTTCACATGGTCACATCCCCTTTTTAATCTGGGATTCCATGTCCCTTTCCCAGTCCAGCCTGTTTCTGTGGTGTCTATTGCTGGTCTCCCTGAGCTTCTGTTTCTGTGGTTTGAGTGTTTTTTGTGTGGCTGAGTGTTAAGACCTGCAGGACTTTTGGAAGTGGCGTTGTTTGGGCGTTAGGCAGTACACTGATTTAGTGTTAGTAGTTTGACACAGACTGAGGTGATGGCTGCGTTCAAGTTGGATTTCCTCCCAGAGATGATGGTGGACCATTGCTCCTTGAATGCTAGCCCTGTGTAAGTATTTTATTTTCATGTCTTAACTTTTTAACGAAAGTGATAGTTGAAATTGCTGCCGCTGAAGCCTCTGCTCTCTGATGAACCCCCCTTGGTGCCCGGGGGAAAGAGAGATAGGAGAAAGCCTGCAGTTTGTTTTCTTAGTAAAGAAATCCTAGTGGGCATTGACATTTGATGTTGGGTTCTGGATAGAGGTTAAAAATTATCTGATAATTTTGGGGATGAGAGCTAAGAAGGAATAAAGCTATATGGCAGTACTGCTTATAGTATGCTACAGGTGCTTGTATTATAAAATCAGTTATTAAATCAGTTCTTGGGAGAACAATTTCTGTTCTTCCCTGTTAGTGACTCCAGGCTAAACCTTTTAATGCGGAATGAAAGATTCCTCAAATACTATTGAGGTCATGTTAAGAGTTGCCCAGTTAACAGGAGCCATTCTATGTCCTTGATGCTACCCATGGTGTAGAAGACAGGGCTGAAAATTATTATTGGAAGAAGATAAATGATTTCCAGTTGTTCTCAATTGGAATGAAAAGACACTGGATGAAAGAAGGTAGTTTACATCCTTGTAAAAGGTATTGTTTACCTTGGATATTTGGAGAGGTGCTGGCCGTTTCTGAGTGGAAAGGTAGAGATAAATGAAAGGATTTATGATGATTCCTTTCCCTTTTGGTAAGAAGCTTTGTTGTTTCTGAGGTCTGTTCATACAGTTAAAAAATTATGAGCTTTCCCTGGCGTCGGTTTTTCCTTAGGCTCTGAACAGCAGCCTATTGAGGGGAAAAATTAACTAAACATGACCTCTTTTGGAATTTTTTTTTTTTTCTTTAATTCTATTTAGGGGGGAACATGATTGCAGATGGACAGTGAGAGGAACACTGTTTAATGTGTCGTTAATAAGGCAATCAAAACCTATCTTTAAAGGAAAAAAGCAGAGATGAAGAAAGGTGACAACTCTGGAAGAAGGCCACCTGTATTCTTCAACAAAGAGTTTGGGGGCGGGAGGGAATCATTGTGTAGTTACTATGCCACTCCCCATGTCCTTTCTAGATTATACAGGGGTTGGTCAGCAATTTTAACTTACTAATTGCTATAGCTGCAATGGGATGTTGTTACAACCAGTCTTCCACAGAGATAAATCCTGTGGTGTACCAGCCAGGCTGTGACTACTGGTGATGAGACTTCACTTTACAGCTGGCAGACACCGAGGAGTGGTGCAGGAAGCTGTGTGTGACTGTCAGTGAGCTGGGTGGAGTGTAACACCGTTGTATTAACGGGATGTGAACTCTTCCTATGGCTAGATGTAACACCTTGAAGCCTGTTGAACATTCCCATACTCAAAACTTCTTTGTTGTTGTCTAAGTCTAACAAGTGACTTTTTTTCCCCATGTTAACACCCTGCCATTACTCAACTTGATTCAGTCTGGACTAGGTTGTCCAATCCCAAACTGTTCATGTACAACCTAAACCTGTTTTGTTTGTTTTGTTTGTTTTCCCCAAATGCTGTTGAAAGCTCCCTAGTTTCACAAAGAACTATTACCTCGTAAACCTTCGATGGAACTTCTCATCTCTTCAGTTGTACTTGTTCCTCTGTTTTAAGATGGATCTTCAGCCTGGGAAACCGTTCTAGATAGTCACATCTAGTTCCCCCCTCATTTGCGGTGGTACCGATAACTTCAGTACTCTGTGGGTAGACTGAGTTTAGGCTCCTTCCTGTTCTGGTTTCTTTTTCTGTAAAATCTTATATAGCTGAACCAGGGATATTTTTCAGTCATCTCAACAAATTTTATGTCCTGAATCCCAGCTGTTGACTACACTATAGGAACAAACATTAGGAGAAGTTTTTAAACAGCTGTGCAGAGAGTGTTTGGTTTCCAAGTGCACAGCTTGCCAATGAATGTGAATGATGTTTCTGAATATTTTCTGGTATGCAAGACTGGGAATGTGCAAGAGTCTCTCTGTATATTTTAATTATATTTTTATATATATATGTAGAAATACATTTATTTTACCTCCCTGTAAGCATAATTTTTCTAGCTGCAATAGCATCTAGAATCTGTGGGAAGATAAAAACCAGAAATTCCTTCTTGTTTTTCATAGCTCAAAGAAAATGAATGGCACACTGGATCACCCAGACCAACCTGATCTAGATGCTATCAAGATGTTTGTGGGTCAGGTCCCACGGAGCTGGTGTGAGAAGGATCTAAGAGAACTTTTTGAACAGTATGGTGCTGTCTATGAAATCAATGTCTTGAGGGACAGGAGCCAAAACCCTCCTCAAAGCAAAGGTGAGAACTTCCCTACTTTTTATGTGGGACTTGGGGTCTCAGCTGCTTTCACACAGTTATAATCTTAGCTGTTTGCTTAGTCAAACATCCCTGTATGTTGGAGCTCTCTGTGAGCAGGTGTGCATGCAAGCCCAGGCTTTAGGGTCTTTAAGTCTATGTGTCTAATTATTCTTGGACTGTGATCCAGTCATTAGCTGAGCTGGGGAAAATCTTATTTTTTTCTTTTAGAGCTCAGAAGTGATGGGGATGTTTGAAGAGTATGAATTATAATTGCAAAGCAGAACATAAAATTAATACTCTGCTGCTCTAGAGCATCGTTGTGATGCTATGGTATGATCAAAACGTTGCTGGAAAGCGTCACAGTTTCAGATAAAATATAAAATTGAGGTATTAGTCATTTGTGTACATCAAATCCTTATTAAATGTTGTACCTGGATTTGCAGCTCATTTATGTGCAATATCTTTATTTCCTGTGAAACTAGGTAAGTTTTGGATCCTAGCAAGTAATTGTTGAAGTTTGATAATGGAAATAGCCAACAACTATTTGGCAGATATAGCTAAATATTTGTTTTAATGGTGTATTGGTGATGTTGGGTCAGTTCTGAATATATCCTGTTTTATTACACTTAAACACCTTTTTTAAACAGTCACAATCTGTAGTACCTACCTATTTCAGTATCTGACCTCTTCTACTTGTCATACACTTTGCATTGGAAGGATGCAAGTGGGACTTCAAATTTCTGTACAGCACGTTATCGTTCATGGTGTTTTTTCTTTTTGTTTCATTTGCAGGGTGCTGTTTTGTTACATTTTATACCCGTAAAGCTGCACTAGAAGCACAGAATGCTCTTCACAACATGAAGATCCTCCCAGGGGTAAGAAAAGAGCCATGCTTTCTTCACAACCCTGTCTTGTTTTTCTGCACTCTGGCACCACTGATGTACAAACATATGTTACATTGCCCTCAAATAATGTTTTAAAAGAACTATTCAGAAGAGCAATGTCATGAGATTCGTATAATAACAGATCTGAAGGGAATTTGGAAGCATTTGGGAGAACAACATGGTAGTGAAGTGAGTGGGTATGGCTCCTGCAATACTGTCTGAGGAAGAATGATGTCATACCATTAGGAAAGCTTTTCTTTCTTGTAGAAACGTATGTATTGTTACATATGCACTTCTGTAGAGGCAATTTAGGCTACCATTTCTTTCTTCCACAATTCTAATGGGATGTATTTCATGTAGTATAAAGTGAATGCAACAAGGATTAAATAATATTTTTACGTTTCAGATGCACCATCCTATCCAGATGAAACCAGCTGACAGTGAAAAGAGTAATGGTAAGCTGTACTAAAGTCTGAGTTTGATGGCATCATTTGTGCTAATAGGGAAACTTGAGGATTTTCCTGTTGTTGAACAGCTTCTGATTCATCAGAATCTGTCGTCTTGAATTGTACACCTGATTTTTTAAAAAATAATTTTAAAAAAAAAGGTGTGTTTTCAATATAGTTGGTAGCATAAGTGATGTCTCTCAAATTCCATGAGTCAGTATCTCCCACTGCTGCTGCTTGTGGCAGAACCATGTTGTCAGTTAGGGAAACATCCAGTGAGTTCTTCTTTGTACTAAGGTGGTTTAAATCTTTGTTGGGGACATGGACAGTGGGATTGAGTGCACCCTCAGCAAGTTTACAGATGACACCAAGCTGAGTGCTGTGGTTGATACTCTAGAGGGACAGGATGCCATCCAGAGGGACCTTAACAGGCTAGAGAAGTGGGCGCACGTGAACCTCATGAAGTTCAACAGGGCCAAGTGCAAGGTCTGGCAGCTGGGTCAGGGCAACCCCAAAAATGGATACAGGCTGGGCTAGAAGTGGATTGAGAGCAGCCCTGTGGAGAAGGACTCTGGAGTATTGGTGGATGAAAAACTGAATATAAGCTGGCAATGTGCACTTGCAGCCAAGAAAACCAGTTGTATCCTGGGCTGTGTCAGAAGAAGGGCTAACAGGTTGAGGGAGGTGATTCTTCCACTCTACTCTGCTCTCGTGAGACCCCACCTGGCGTACTGTGTTCAGCTCTGGGGCCCCCAGCATAAGGAAGACGTGGACCTGCTCGAGTGGGTCCAGAGAAGGGCCACAAAGATGATCAGGGGGCTGGAGCACCTCTCCTATGAGGACAGGCTGAGGGAGAAGAGAAGGCTCTGGAGAGACCTTATAGCAGCCTTCCAGTACTTAAAGTGGGCCTGCATCAAAGATGGGGAGGAATTCTTTTATCAGGGAGTGTAGTGATAGGATGAAGAGTAATGGCTTTAAACTGGAAGAGGGGAGGTTTAGATGAGACATTAGGAAGAAGTTCTTCACTGTGAGGGTGGTCAGACACTGGCCCAGGTTGCCCAGAGAAGCTGTGGCTGCTCCTCCCTGGAAGTGTTGAAGGCCAGGTTGGATGAGGCTTTGAGCAACCTGGTCTAGTGGAAGGTGTCCCTGCTGCTGGCAGGGGGGTTGGAACTGGATGAGCTTTAAGGTCCCTTCCAACCCAAACAGTTCTATGATTCTATGAAAGCTAGAGATCCTTTTTCAAGTGCTTGACCCATTTCAGGCAAGGCCTGTGGCAGCTGTGGTGGGAGTCAAAACTACTTCTTGTAGTATTCAAAGGAGATTGAGAATTCACAGCAGTTCAGTAGAGAAATAACTGAATATTTCTGCACATTGGCCATTTCAGATTGATTAAGACATTAAGCATCTACCACTGGGTAATGATTGTTCATCCATGTATTTGCATGAGGAGTTTATATGCATACATATATACATGTTCAGATGAGTGGGTGTCTGTATATATTGCTGCAAGATAAGTAAAGAAAGTGTTCAGCATCTTGTAGTTTCAGCCTTTCTAGTCTTGGCTGAGTTTTATTTTCTTCCTTTGCCACAGTTACTATAAGATTAGCGTTGCATCATGAAGAAGATAATCCTAGTTCCAGAAAGCTTACCTCTTCAGATAATTGAAAATGGAAGATGAGAGGTACAAGTGACATATAGGAGGAGTAATTCCATCTGCAAATTCCTCCATGTGTATACAGAATATGTTTCTGTGTAAATATATCTAGGAAAGAGTAATTATTTTGAAGTATTGTTGGGGGGAGAACAGAATAGATTCTCTAAACTAAAACTAATGTTGCATTATATACACACAAATATCCTGGGAAAAAATGGAAAGAGGAAAAAAATATTTAATGGAATTTTAAGATGACAGTTCTGAGATTATTATATAATAATATAATATTTAGTAAAAGGTGTAGGTGAAAATATCAACAAGAAAGCATCAGTTAAAAGTATTTTACCTTGCCATTAATAAAAGGGATTCTGGTTCTCTTGAACTAAAATGGATTGCAGAAAGAATTTGAAAGCAGCTTTCTGCTCTAAGAGCTTGAAAGTGAACTGCATACAACATTAAGATTTAGTAGTCAGTTAAAGTCATGTCAGCTGGAATAGTTTGGAATTTTCCTCTTCAACACCATAGAAAACTTGGCAAATAAGCTGGTTTCTCCCCACCATGGCACTAAATAGGAGACTTTCTCTCTTGGAGCTTCAAATTGTGTCAGAGCCTTCATCATATTACATTTTATATTGTACTGTATGTTGTATTTGCAAACTGGTTTATAGTTCCAAATGGTATGCTGCATAATTTGCTTCATCCTTTAAAAGTATTTCAGAGGTGACTAACATCCTTAAATAAGTAAAATGAGACATAAAATGTTCTGCTCTGGGCTGGAATTTACCCCACTCCCTTAAGTGACCTTAAAGTGACATTAGTAACCACTAACTGAATAGTTAAGAGAAATGTCTTTCTGGACCATTTATTTTAATAAGAATATCTTTTAGTCTTTACACTGAAAGATATTCTTCAACTAATGTATCTAGTAGCATCAGCATTTAGAGGCAGGATACAGTAGCACACAGTCCGTCCTTCTGATTTGAGGTGGTGCTTTCATGCTTTTGGTACAGATCAGAATGGATGAATCCAAAACAGAACTAAAACTGGTCTGTTTTAGCAACTGCTGTTGCTTCCACTGTTGAGACAGGAGCATGAGGAAATAGCAGATCTGAATTTAAGTAATTGGCATGATAAAGAGGCTAGAAAGCAGCTTTCTGCAGCTCACTTGCTTGTTTAGTTACAGTTAGGTATGTTGGTAGTCTAAAGATAGAAGAGAGAGGAGAGAGGATGAAAATAATCCAATAAAATACATACAAGTCTCCTCTCACTCCCCAGGAATTGAATGTAGGAGATACAGGGAAGTGCTGAATCCAATATATTATTATTTTCCTTTTCTTACATTCTTGCAGTTCACAGGCTTGCAAGGGAGAAACAAAATGTAAACATAAACCAACATAAACCAGGCATCCTTCAGGTTCATGTGCATCCTCTTAAACTGAAGAGATTCCATGATTGGGAATCTGGTTTGACAAGGCTCTGCCCTAAATACAAGGAATAACTGCAGCTGATGGAGAAAACTTGACAAAATAAGATCTTGTAAGCACATATTTGCTGGTAACACTCTTATCCTTTGATTTCTTAGCAGTAGAAGATAGGAAGTTGTTTATTGGAATGATATCCAAGAAGTGCAATGAGAATGATATCCGAGTGATGTTCTCCCCCTTTGGGCAGATTGAAGAATGCAGGATATTACGGGGCCCAGATGGCCTGAGCCGAGGTAAGCAGGAAGCTTTTCTGACGTTGAAGGTTCTCCACTGAATGCTGCCTATTGCAACTCAAGGTGGCATTTCAGCTCTTTGTGTGATTCACCCTTCCCACCCCCCAGCTCTCCCCAAAGTAGGCATTTTCATTTCTTTATTCATCCCAGTAATTGCAGATGCAGTGAATTACTTGATTCCTTTTTGTTCTTTCTCCAGGTTGTGCATTTGTGACTTTTACAACAAGAGCCATGGCACAAACAGCAATCAAAGCAATGCACCAAGCACAAACCATGGAGGTAAAACAAGTTCATGGGTGGCAGGAGAAGATGTAATTTGTCAGGCAGTCACTATAGAGTTTGGAGGACTAGAGAGCAGAGAGAAGTAGTGCAGTGTGTGTTTCTTCGCAAATACTACTCCAGGACCTTTGTGTTTGTTCTACTCCTGTTTTAGAGCTAGAGATAGAAACTTCATCTGCAGAGAAAATAGCAAAATACAAAATAGAATTAAAAGCAAATGAGATTTTGAACCTTTAATGGCTTGTGCTGTTTGAATATATATATATATATATATATGTGTGTGTGTGTGTGTGTGTATGTGCATGTAGGGGGGAGGATAGTGCTTTCAGTGACTGAATCTTAACACTGTATTTTTGTGACTGCTGGGGATAGCAAGTATGTGATCGTTTGAATTGCTGTTTGCAGGGTTGCTCTTCTCCCATTGTGGTAAAATTTGCAGACACACAGAAGGACAAAGAGCAGAAACGAATTGCTCAGCAACTCCAACAACAAATGCAACAGATCAGTGCTGCCTCAGTATGGGGAAACCTGGCTGGTCTCAACACACTTGGACCCCAATACTTAGCAGTGAGTTTCTCATTTGGGTTCTTTTTGACTCTTCAAGGGGTTACAGTGTCTGATTGTTTTGCAGTGTTTAATGTATTCATATTTAGAAAGCTCCTGATGTATAGGAGCAGGGTTCTTAATCCCCAGTTTGTGGATGAGGAGGCTGAAATTAAGTTACATGCTAACAACTAGTCAGGGTACATTTAAGTAAGGATTTCAGCCCCAGTTACTGTAGCCCTAACTACTAAAACTTCCACCCCCCCAACCCCCTTGTCTTCTGTAGGATGACTTTGTGCTGGGAAGATTTTCTTCACATGCTATGGCTTCAGTGTTTATCCACATAAATGCCCTTTTCGTGTCTATCTAATGACATAGTTCTTGTATTCCTCTTCCATCTTTCCTTTTTCAGCCTTTATTTCTCTCATCCCCTTTTAGTGAAGCTTAGAACAGTACTTGATGCTGTCCAAATAGAAAAAACAAACAAACAAACAAAGTAACAAAAAACCAGAACCAAAACAACCCCAAAAAAGAATCTACGCAGAAAATAAGAGAGAAACTACTCTCTTTAGCAAAAAAGACACAACAGAGGGTAGTCTCCTGTTTGTGACTGATTTTAGTTGATTTTACTGGGTCCCTGAAGGGTGAACTTTTCATCAGCTGATGTGTTGTGGCTCATGTGGATTGCCAGAGTAGCTGTGAGAACTGTATTCATGCAATATAAGGCCTGGGGAAAAGGAAAATTTCCTCTCGTTCTTGGTCTGGTGCACTGTTGAAGTCGAGGCATTCACTCTTTTTACTACTGCTTTAGGTTTAGTAGATTGGAATTTTTTATAACAACACCTAGTTAATGGAGAAAGGAATAGGAAATCCCTTTAAATGGCTTCCAAGCTGAAGCTTGACATTTCTCTCATGGCTGCTGTGTGTCAGGAAAGCGAAGAGGGTTCTCTCTCACTTTGGTTTTGGGGTGGCATTTGCCATTTGGCCTGTGCTGACAGTGTCAGCTGTAAAGTCTGGTTTGAGGTAGTGTATCCTTAGGCGTGGCAATCCTGCCTGATGTGCTTTGGGTAGGGGTTGTCTCTCACTAGTGATTCTACTGCGTTTGTCTTGGTGTCTTAGCTCTAAACTTCCCTCGACTTTGATTACGTGGAGCGGGGAAGGCGCTGTGCTGTTGCTTTGGCTGCAGTGTGATGCATGGGCAACGTGGATTTTCACTGTGGTGCTGCTCTGGCTGTACTGTGTGAGGGGAATTCTCTTGATGCTTTGCTACGATGTGGTGCCTGGGCAGTGGGAATTCCCTTTGTGACGGCGCTCTGGCTGTGGTGTGATGCACTTTCTCCCAGAAGCGGAGCCAGCCCTCACTCTCACTCTTGTTTTGTTTTTTGGTGTAATGTCTAGCTTTATTTGCAGCTCCTTCAGCAGACAGCAGCTGCGTCATCTGGGAACCTGAACACACTGAGCAGCCTCCACCCAATGGGAGGTGAGTTTTTTTTTCCGCCAGAAGACAAGTTCAGTGCTAAAGAAAAGAGGAGGAGGGTAGAAAAAGTAGCCAAAAGGCTTGTAGGCACATTAACCTCATTTGAAATAAGTAGTGCTGAGTTTACCCACTCCTTTGGAATGGCAGGAATCCTCTACTACAAGTGTGGATGTTCCTTCTTAATCTTAGTTAATCATTGTCCCTAAGGTAAGTTGTGGTATGCTGGTAATCTCCCCTACCTCTGGCATTTAAAATTATCTTCCCTCATGGGTACAAAAAGATGGCTCTGGGTATTTATTTTCATTCCAGCAGGTGCATATTTGAAGCATTGTGTATTGAAGTAAGCACTGATGCTTGTGTTTCAGTGATAATAGATTCTTAGGTTTCCCATTTTAAATTCTTTTTTCTTAAATACATTGAAGTTTAAAATGCAGTGTTGGTAGGAGGGTGAACCAGCCATTCATTCACGTTCTTTAATTCCTTCGTTTGAATTATGCTTGATTACGCCATTGCTGTTAGGGAAATATCAGCTTAAGAGGTATCAGCCAAATCCCTTGCTGTGAGCTGGTAGTCAGAATATTCACTGAGTACAGCAGCACTGGGGCTGCAAATTCATTGTCCCTTCTGTCTTTGCAGGGTGGGGAATAATAAAACACATTAGTAACTCCGTTCACCACATTTTTAAATTCTTCTGCTGGCAGAAAAACTATCTAAAACCAGTTTTGGTTTTAATACTGAACCTTTTAAGCTTTTAAAATTACCTCCTGGAGTTGTACAGTAGTTTACAATGTTATATGCCCTGTCTCTGCAGAGGCTGATTGAAAAGTGTTAACAAGAAACTAAAGTGTCTTTGTACACCTGACTGGTGTTGGTGCACCCATCAGTAACAGTTACAAGGTTTTGCAAAGTGTTATGTTTTCAGTTGTAAGAAATTTGATTTATACTTGAGGTTGATTCTAACCTTGGCTTCTTTTGTTTCCTTTTTTTTTTTTCATGTTAGACCTCTTCAGAGCTCTTAAATCCAAGATTCTTGCAAAAGTTTGATTTATACTTGAGGTTGATTCTAACCTTAGCTTCTTTTGTTTCCTTTTTTTCTTTTTCATGTTAGACCTCTTCAGAGCTCTTAGATCTAAGATTCTTGCAAAAACAATTTTTTAAAAATCAGTTTCACTAATATCCTGTGTGGTGGTGATCTATAATAGATTGCTATGCCCATTATACTGTTTGTTTTTTTTCCCCCCTTCTTGTGTCTGTTTAAAAGCAAGTGGTAATAAAGGAGAAAAACAGTACAGTGGTTTTGTGTTAATTGTTACCACAGTAAGAAATGGGGCAGGGGGAAGGGGCTAACAAGCTGAGGTTGCCTATGAAGTTTCAGGGTAATTCTGTCTTCACTATTTTTTTAAAAAACACCTTAAAAATTGAGAACTCTGACATATGAATAGCGTATTGCATGGTGTTTTGAAAGAATTATTTCAAACCTGTGATGCTACACAGAAAGAGTTTTATTTTCAAAGTGGTGGTAATATCTTGGCTGATCTCCTTTCTTGAGATTCATAGGGGGGGAAAAAATTAAGTAGGTAATTAGATCCAAAAACTATGTCGACTTTGTAGACAAAATTTAGTCTTGACTCTAGTTGAAAGCAGATGGGAAAACAGTGTGTGACAGGAGGACGGGTGCAGTGCGCACACCAAACTGCTTCAGAAAGGAAGCAAGCAGCTCTGTTCTGCACTACCTCTAACACTTGCACTTTTAACCCTCTGTTGCACAATAAAAACAAAATATATAACTTTTTGATATTTAACTTTATACTTTTATGTTACAGTGGCACCTTGATAATCTAACTGAAGGCAGTGTCTTTTTTCAGGCATTAAATGTGGTTAGGGAAACATCCTGTCACAAAGAGAAAACAATTGGAAAATATATATATATATATAAAAAAAAAACAAACCAAAAACAAAGGAACTATGCTAAAGGTAGAAGTTTTTTAGAAAATAAATAGTTTATACTGCATTGTCACTTACATTCTTACATTGTCTGTTTGCATACTTAAATGACAAAAACTGAGTTTTTAATTATTTGAGATGTGTGCTTTGTCACCAACTGCTTACTAAGTATCCAAAAGATGAGGTGCCACATCTGCCTAGGACGTTTTGATTTTGTTATATGAATGATGATTAATTTAGTTTTAATTTTGTAGGGAAGAATTACTAGGGATTGTCTGAAGTCAGATGAAAAGAGGAGGAATTGTTAGAATAAGCAAAGGTAGAGTCAAAAAGGGGAAATAAGGGAAAAGGGAAGAGAGCCAGAATTGGAAGGATGGAGCTAGCCTACCAAAGGATGGCTAGAATAGAGAGTTCAGAAGAAGATTGGTATCAATAATAATCAGTGTCTGTACTGTCCAAATGGTTTCATTCAAAGATTATGTCTCAAAATTAAGGTCAGTCAGATGATTAAATGGACAAGTAAAAGTTCATCAACACAGGGATACCTTTCTCCCCCTGCAGTATTCCTGGCTGCCTACCTACAATGCCCTTGATGTTTCCCATTTTCCTTGCCCCTTTTGTTTGACCAGCTGACTAGCCTACACGTACATTGGCTGATCTTGTGGTCAGGAGTTGCCACTGAACATTGTCTCACAACTGACTGTTGCTTCTTGGCTGCCAAGGAGACCAAACAAACAGCTGATGGTGGGTTAAAGGTGTGACTTCGTGGCCACTGTGATGTGTAGGCCTTCCTGAAGGAATTCTGCAGTTATTGCTGTTCCCATAAAAAGATGGTGGAGAGACAGGAGAGAAGAGGAGGTTGTTGGCCTTGTGTCTAGACAAGTTCTCTGACTTGCAAATGAGCTGTCAGACCCTGGCTTAACTCTCAGTTAAAGCTGCTATGCTTTTGTGACTGCAGAGAACACTGCTTGAAAATTTCTGTACTCTGGATTCTACATCTGGGTTCAGGACTACGTGGTCTTTTACCGAAACTCATCTAACTGGGTAAAGAAAAACTTCTTTTTTTAGTTATAACAAGGAATTGCAGTGTAGAAAGGATTAGTAACTAGTATTAAGCCTGTTGTTTTTAAGCTCCTTCCTGTTACTCCCTTGTGATGTGCTGAGGTTTCTGGATCTGTTAAGCTTGGATGCTGGGGACCGTTCTAGGAGAAACTCTGTGCATTCTTGCATGTGTTGCAGGACTGAACGCGATGCAATTGCAGAACCTGGCCGCGTTGGCAGCTGCGGCCAGTGCAGCTCAGAATACACCGAGTGGTACCGCAGCGCTCACTTCCTCCAGCAGTCCCCTGAGTGTGCTCACCAGCTCAGGTAAGAGACTGCCCATGCTGCAGTCTGTTATGACACTGGTTACCTTAGGATAGATGTCACCTGTTATGTTTATCCCTTTTTGACACTTCCATGTTGATTCTTTAATAGAGAAGCAGTTTTACTAGTAGGTTCACTGGCCTTTGGTTAGGGTAGATATCTTTGCCACTTGCTGTTTTCCTTCTTCCAAAGGGTCTGATTAATTTAAAGTAAAATGAATTTTTGAGGTCATCATGAAGCAGAAAGGTAAGTGACCTCTTCCCAATCATGTTATTACAGTCTCATCACATACTTGGTTTTCTGTGATTTTAGGCAGTTACTGTGGCAGATGTACCCTTTTCCTCTGGGCAGAAAGGTAAGTGACCTCTTCCCAATCATGTTATTACAGTCTCATAATATATTTGGTTTTCTGTGATTTTAGGCAGTTACATGCCTAAAATGCCCCTACATTTTAGGGCAGATGTACCCTATTCCTCTGAGTATGGAAATAGAAGATGCCTTAAGCGTGAAGTAGTGCATTCTGTGCACTAGAACAGTACAGTTTATATTCCTTTGGCATTAATGAAGACAAGGATACTATAACTACCTCATAGGAGCAGAATAAACAGACCTCTAGCACATTTATTGGAAAGCCTTGTCTAGAACTGAGTGTACAAGTTGCACATATAAATCAACATCTTGATCTTCTGGGGTTTTTTTAATGGGGTTTCTTGGGGGGGAGGGGTTTACCTTACTTTACCTTGGGTTATGTGCATTATCCAGAGAGGCTAGAGTGTCCAAGTACTGTTCTACTGCAGCCTTATTGTTAAATGTGATCATTAAATGCAACAAACAAGAAAACAAAAAAATAAATTATTTTATGCTTACATCAGACATGCTCAGTTTTTACCACAAGCGAGGATCAGTATCCTACTCAGTTATTTCTGTGTTATTTTCAGTTATTTCTAAATCCTGAGATGGGAAGGGAGACCCTGTATTTTCAGGGTGTCAGTTTCCCAGCATCTGTGGGGTGATATGTGGGTTTGGTTTTTGTTTGTTTGTTTGTTTGTTTTCTTTCATAAAAAGCAAAATTGGTTATCCAGTTTTGAAATCCAGCCTACAGAGTTGACATTCTCACCTGTGATTATGAGAGACCAAAGTATTAAGGGGGTGTTTTAAATTTCCACAGGTAACTTTTTGTATTGCATAGGAGAAGCAAGGAGCTGGACTAAGAGACTATAAAGAGATTACAAGGAAAAGCTGTTCAGAAAACCTTACATCACACGATCAGGAGTTGAGCCATGGGTGCTTTGCACTGTTTTCTACTTAGAGAAATCCTCAAGAAAGAATTCAGTTCAAAGAGTGTTCTGTTGCTGGACAGGGGGTTTTTTTTACATAAAAACTTTGTGGTCTGCGGTCCTTAAAGATTAAAATTTCAAAGTTTATTTTGACTCTCAGCTATGTTATCCTAATCTGTAATTTAAAAAACAAACAATGAAGAGTTGAGACTATAGAAGAACTGCATTGACAACTCATCAATGCTTCTTCATTGTAAAGAAGGTGAATATATCTGGGAATTTCTCCCATATTTCCTCATGCAGTAGCAGAGCTGGAATTGTCAGGTTACAGTTTGCTGTAACTGGCATATAGAACTAAGATTTCCTTGTCAATGCTCTTGTTTACTGACTGGAGCTAGTTTGTTCTCTTGATTTGTTGAGGTGGGGAAAGGGACTGGCAGGTTGTAAAGTTCAAATACCAGATGTGCTAGAAAAGGCAGAGAAAACCTCTTCTCACAAGTGTACAGTGAAAGGACGAGGACAATAAACACAAGTTGCAACAGAGAAAATTTTAACTGGTTATCAAAGAAAAATAAAATCAATGGTTACAGGGATTAAGCTCAGGAACCAGGTGCCAGAGGGGCTGTGGAATCTCAGAGATTCAGAATGCAATTGGAAAGGACCCTGAGCAGGCTGACCTAACTCGGAGGTTAGACCAGCTCTGAGCAGACCATTAGACTAGAAGATCCACAAAGGTCCCTTTCAACTGAAGTTATGCTACTGTTGTGTGATTCTTTGGGATAGGTTTCCCCTTCAGGAATTTTGGCTGTTCCACAGCACCGTGCAGGCTTTTCTTTTCCCTCAATGAGAGGACTCTGTTCCGCTTTTGATCTTGCTGGTGGAGGGACTAGAGGGTGGGGAGCGTCCATTTGTAAGCACTTTCTGTGCTGAATCCAAACAACTTTCTGATCCCCAGTCATATCAATAAATGATTGTGTACCAACCAACAAATAATCTTGATGTGTCATTTGAATTAATATTCTATACAGATGCATCAGTCAGTTCACTTTTGACAGGCTTGTAACATGAAGCAGTCACTATTGTATTCTATTGTATTGCTCTTTCAACTTAATTTCAAGTATAATTTTAAAGAGTAGAGATTAGCTTTGTTCAAAAGCAATAAAAAATGCTGGAGGATGTGTGGTCTATATGTAGTCACTGATACCAAACTCTGAAATGGTGTCAGTGCTTTTCGTTAGAGTTATAAATATGCTTCACATTTTAAAACTGTACTTAAATTGGAGGGAGGGTGTACAAACGGTGTTCAATCTCATGATGCTTCCTATAGTTATAGAGTTTTTTAACTCTTTGCTCTGAACTAGCTATTACCTCTCCTAAGAGCAAATTTGAAATTCTCTTTTGATTAACATTTATATGTGCATTCAGACAGAAGGCTGTTGGACTCCACACATTCAGAGCATCCCTCCTGAACCATACCTAGACCTTGAATAAACTCAGTCTATAACTGTTCAGTACCATGCGTTAGTAAATGCCTTCCTTGTCTGTGGGACTTAGGTCAACATCTGCTGTGATAACCTCTTAAACCTAACTGCAGATGAGATGACTACCAGCTTGATTTCTACCCATCTGTCATCCAAATGTTCACCTGATGCTTATTTGGACATCTCTCCCAGGTTGTCCTCAAATTGCAGAATTGGTGGAAAAATCCAGACAATCTTTATTTATAGTTACCTTTTTGATTTTTTTCATCTGCACTGATAGTTTCTAGTTGTTTGGGGAACTTGGAAGTCCACACAGCACAGAGTCTGTGGACTATGCATAGGTTACATGTCAGAATCGTTGAACTCGGAGGTGTTCAGTATTGTTGTTGTGCTGTCTTCCTACTCATTTCAGGTGAGTTTATTTATAGATATTTCCAAGCAGTATTGTGTATTCTGATGAAGACTAGGATGGAGCAAAACCTTCAGCCTTGCAATAAAGCAGCTACTCTTTGGAACTCAGCAGCCTGCTGCTGCATCCACCTGTAGTTAGTCCATGTTACAGAGACTGTGGCCTTAGATAAACTCATTTAAACTGCTAGCTTGTGAAGGGGACATTCAAGAAAATATTGTAGAAGTATTTTAGGATTGGAGTGTCTTGTCTGCCATCTTTTCAACTCAGACATCAATAAGAATTGTCTGCTCCAGAGCAAAATACAATGGTTGGAAAAGCTGATGTTTGTTTCCATTTCTTCTCCTTTCAAAGGCAACCATTAGAGACCCAGCAAAGACTAGATGACTTTGCTGGCCTTAGTGTGTCTCCAACAAAGTTGTTTTTAGAGACATTGTAGTCTTTCTGCTTTTACTGGAACTGATTGTGGTCCAGTTCAATCAGATTAATTGCCTGAATTTTAGTGCTCTTTAGGTCATTGTTTGGATGCTAGATGACTGAATTAGAACAGATTTACTGTTCCCTCAGTTTACCTGCCTCCACAAATTGGTAGTTTATGTTCTTGTCCAAGTTTTGTTGTCTTTCCTAGTTATTCTTTACTACATATTCAGATTTTCTGAAAACCTTTTCAAGTATGAGCTGAAGCTTATTCTCATAGTTAGCCTTTTTGACTAAATATAACTCAGTAGATAGATCTAAGAAGACATAACTTCAATAGCAAGCAAAAAAAACCCAACAACCCACCAAAAAGTGCACAGGAACAATGTTAAGAGTTAGGGATGGAGTAAAGAACCTGTATAAAGCTATATATTGGTTTTCCATCCCCATTACTGTGTGCTGTTATCTGATCTAAAATAATACACAGAAAAACAGAAAGGATGACTAGAACTGTGGAAATCCTTCCCTATTAGGAGCAACGAGGGAGCCTGAAAAATAGAAGACTGACATGGGAGGAGGATATGGTTGAAGCCTACAAATATATTAGTGGTGTGATGAAGACCTTTAAAGAGCAGTCGTTAGATATTTCAAGACAAGAATTACAGGATATCAGGTGAAGTTGTCAGCTGACAGCTCAAAAATAAGAGAGAGCTGTTTCTTTACATAGTACATTATTAAATTGCAGAACTCGTGCCTTAGAACATAGTAGAGTCAAACAATTTGATGTTCAAAATGCACTGAAATTAATGAATGAAAGTTGTAACTTCAATACAAAGGTATTGCCCTTGGCTGAAAAAAATCCTAGATTTGCAAATTGCTGCATTGGTATGTAGACTATACCTAGGAAGTATTCCTCTGTAATTGCCATGTATTTCTGTTCTGCTATTATTTTTCTACCTTTAGTCATCATCAGAAGTGGGGTGCTGACTCAGTACAGCAATTCCTATATACATACAATAAAGAAAATAAACCAAACAGTGTTAAATTTTCTTGACATTTTCAGTACTAAATCATTTCTTGTTTTTCTTAAAGAGATTTGTGATAAATACAGCTAAAGTAAAATAACTGTGTGTTCAGGTTTTTGTAGTGGTTTAAATTGATGGATTTAAATTCACAACCTTTTAAAAGTAGGGAAGGCATCTGTTTGCTCTTTTACTTTGCTCTCTAGCCTTCACTTCAGTCTTTTTTTCCCATATTGCTACTACTTTATTGTGTGTTTGGTTTTTTTAATGGTGTTCTCATCTGTCAAACGTAGTGTCTTTTTGAATTATGCAGTTTAGCAATGTAGTGTTGCAGAAACAAGTGATATTCTCAAATTGAGGCAGCTGTATCATTTCTGAACACTGGCTTTTATTCAACCAGCTGTGCTATTTCTTTTTACCAACTTCAGAGTTATACTGTACCTCGTTCTCTGTATTTTTCCAACATTTAACATGCTACTTATAGTGAGACAGGAAGTGTCTCCTTTTCTTCAGAGTAAGCACATTAAAATATAGTTTGGGACGTTGTCTTTCAATTTCTGACTTAAGAGAGTTTGTCTAGAGCTTCTCCTAGAGGAGGTTTGTCATTTCCTCTGTCAGTACAAAACTAGACAGTGATGTGCAGTGTAGTTCCCTGGGTTCTCATGCAGCTTTTGTTAGGTGCAGCTACTTTTGTTGAGTAAAATTTTTGCTGGGGCTTGTTGGGCAGGTTTGCTATATTCCATTTAAATAGTTACCATATTCCACACCAGCAGAGACTTTGTGCCACATATATGAAATGGTGAGTATGTAGTGTGTGTGTGAATTGGCTTGAAAGATGCTAACAGTTCTTTTACTGAGTAAACGTGGTTGAAGATGTTAGTGGCACAGTCAAAAGAGGATAGACTGTGTGTTTTGGATGTACATACCAAGACTTTTCTTGGCCTTAGGTCCAGCTGCTACAGCAGCATTTTTAATGGAAAATTATTTCATGTGTCAGAATAATCTGGGCATCAGCTGCTCCTGTTCTGGCAGCACAGGAAAACCATATGTTCTGTTTGACTGGAGCTTTCTTTAATGTCCCTAGTATCTATGTTTCAGGTCTTTTTCACCCTTTGCGATGCTTCAAGGGTAGATG